AAGGGCTGACAGAGAAAAAAACTCCTAAGGTGCGGCTCAAAATTCAAAATGAAATGTCATTTTCAGCTTTTAGGAGAAAAACTGTCGCTCTTGGGTAAAAACTATGTAAAAAATAGGACCGGCATGCTGCAGTTAATGTCGGCGGCGAACCAGGGGATCCAACACGATTTATACTTTGGTCAAGAGTACCACAGGAGAAGGAGACTGCATAGTCATGGGAAAATTCCGAAGAACCGAGGCTGCGACCGCGAAACGCCCTTGCCAATTTTCGAGGCCGTCGTCAACGCGACGAAAACAGGAGAAGCCGACACGATCGCAATTATTCGTTATTGGCCGACATAAGTGAGCTGCATGCATATGGATAAATATAATGCACCGAATAATTTCATAATAAAATATTAATAAAACGAAGCAAGTTATGCTATAAGAAATGTAATAATTCTTCGTCTGCAGTTGGACTTCAGACTGGTGTCAGAGTGAGCAGTACTATAGCAATATAGGTTCTTCTGAAACATTTTGAGAGAAGCGGACATAACGACATCCAGTCGTAGAGCATTCCAAGCTTCAACCACTCTATTACAAAAGAAGAACTCTCGTATGCCTAGCTGGGCCTCTTTACACGTAATTTGAATGAATGCTCTCTTAAGTTCGTAGTTGTTGGCAACTCGAAGAAGTCGATATGTAGAAGACAACAGTCCTGACCGCGCATTTTACGGAATGTTTGCATCTGATCGCCACGTAGTTGCCTGTATATTAAAGGGAAGTGGTCGAGATTGGCTGACTGTGTTTCATAGGGGAATGAGCCCTGTCTGGTCATAAGTTTAGTTGCACGCCTTCTCAAGGTCTTTGCGTCCAGGCTCTCCCTGGCCTCCATGGTCATCAATGCTCCTAAGTGTAAGACTGGCTACTGTAAGCAAATAAGTAGCAATATACATTGAGTAAAAACATATGTTTGAGCGTTAAGTCATCTTCTTGATTGCTAAGAAACCAACATTTTTTAAAGTACGGTGGGCACATGCATTAGAAAAATAATGCATTTAAATACGCAAATTCCTTTTATAAAAAAGCAAAATTAATTGTGGTTACTTCCATGGCTTTAATCATGCAATAGTAGGTATCCATAGTAATCAGTACAGAACGAACGCAGAAGGAATAGCCACTGAGTACTCGACTAGCGGGCCATTTTGCCACAATAAAATTATGTCTTTCTGGTAAGAATGGGGCAGGGGACGCAAACATTTACTCAAAGCAGGGGACATACGTAAGTAACATTTGAAAGAGAAAATAATGCTGTATTTTGAAGGTAAATATCGAAAACTTTCAGCAAAAAATGACTGCATTCATAGAGAGCACTGGATACGTTCAATTAGAAGGTAATATAATACTCAAAGTTAAACAGTTTGGTGAGGTTGTCTCTAGCGGTCTTTTTGTTATGTATTATAGCTACCTACTTAAGTTTTTAAGTAGGTTGAATTACCTGTACACTTCTGGTTTTCTGCGCGCCATCCATCGATCTAGCAGGCATTTTCTGATGGCATTGGAATGCATACCTATTCTCCGAGGCAAACACATTCCATAACTGCTAAAATCGGCAAACTAAGCAAAATTTGACTTTTGAACTACCCACGGGAACTACCGTTTACCTACAAATTTTGAGTAGGGTGATTCGCCTAATCTCCCTGCCTTTTGTACTTTGTTAAGCTTTTTTCTAGTTGATTTTGGTGATACCACTGGAAAATGTCTCTCAGTGACCTTGCCCGAGGTTTGGGCACACCCCCTACATGCACGCGTTCGCCGTTGGTCGTGCGGGGGATTAGCGATGGTATAAAAGCTGCCTTTAGTGTCTTCTCCCAAGGTTTGAGTACGCGACCCAACTTGCCCTCATAACTTTTTTATTGGACATTCAAATTGGTTTCTAATTTATTCCCTGGCATGCCCCGCCCGTCCTCTTCCATAAAATCACTCGTTCGTATA